TACGTTCATAGTCGTTTTCGCCAAAAATAAAAATACTGTTATAATATTAATTTTAGTTTTATCAATTTGTCAATTTAAATTCATTTATTTGGTATACCATAAAAGTAAAATGTTGTAGTTTTACCAGTACAGCAAATGAAAAATTGCCACATGCGGCCCGCGGCCGTACTTTGGACAGACCTACTATTTCTATTCATATAGAAAGAATGGGTGAACTGATATGTGTCTAAATTTATAAGTTTATACCCGTACATATTGTAGTTAAGAATTAGAAAGAGTGGATTTAGTGCAATATGGAACATAAGAAAATCATCTTGGTATTTTTCCCATCTAATGGATATTTAGTTAAATTATATATTGTTGTTCCCTTTCAATTTGTAAACTTGAGGTTAATCGTGTATATTTCCAGTGCTTCAATAATCCAAAAGTGAGGGATAGAGTCGAAGGCTTTTTAGTAGTCGATAAACGCGGCTTATAGGCTTGCTTGTTATTGGTTGTTTGGTTAAAACACTATCAGCCCTATTCTGAATCGCATGGAAATAGGTGTTTTTTCCCTTTTCCCAATTTTGCTGTTCTGAATGGGAGTTTTGTTCCCTATTCCCATTTTGCTATTCTGAATCGTATGGGAATGGGATTTTTTTCCCAATTTTGCACAAATTCTTTCCCAAGCAAATTGTTTGGGAGACAAGTTAAAAAAGTATTAAAATTAGTTTAATTTAATATGAAAGTAACTTATAATGATCAGGTTTTTGAATATATTTTAATGAAATTATTATAATAAATTTAATATAACTAAATATTAATTTGATATATTTTATTAAAATTATTATTTTAATAAAAGTATTATAACAAATTTAATATATTTAAATTTTTATTTATTGATTTTGTCCACTAGGGTTTTTTTCCACAAAATAAAGCGTTGACTATTGTTATTTAAAACAATAGATAACGAAAGAAACCCAAATTCTGCAATTAATGGGATTCCTAGAATAAGTTAAAATAAACTTTTGCAATTATGCGCCGGTAAAACATTGATTCTTATTAGTTTATTAATTTAAGGACATTTCTATCTTAATTATAAAAATAAATACGAGTTTTGGAGAGAAGCTCAAATTTTAGTTAATTTGATTTGACATTAATAATTTCAATTAATAAATAAGATATTTTACTTTGTTTTATTGTATATAAGAGAGTAATAAATTATATAAATATTTAAATAATAAAATAAAATAAAAATTTTCTATTTTTTACCTACTTATAAAGTAGTCATTAGTCCCTATTATGAATTGTCGATCGGTGATAGACAGTAGAAAAATTTCTACTGTTGGTAGAAAAATTTCTACTGTTGGTAGAAAAAATCAAATTTTGGTATTATGAATTGCAAACCAATAGAAGTTTTTCTATCAGCGGTAGATAAATTTCTCTACTGCATTTGAGCAGTAGAAGTTTGTCGATCGTATAAAATAAATGCTGAATGCTAAAATAAATACAGTCAATTTAACATATAACTTTAATATAATTTTAATATAACTAATTTAATAGTTAGTAATAATTCATTTAGATCTAATATACATTGTGACCGAAAAGTTTTCGGAGGTTCTCATTTAAAATTCGCGCGCTGTATATTTTTCGATATTTTAAGTTTATGTAGTTTGGCAGCATGTCCTTAATTACTATGCCAAAAAATGAGCGCGATCTGTCAGACAGTTCGTTTACGGCAGCTGTTGAAACCAGTTCACCTCAGTAGTGCGTTGCGAAAAAAACAATGGAAAAAAATATTGAACAAAGAGTTTGCATCAAATTTTGTTTTTCGAACGAAATTTCGTGTGCAGAATCGTTGCGAATGCTACAAAAGGCTTATGGGGAATCAGTTTTATCGAAAACTCAAGTTTATGAGTGGTACAAAGCCTTTCAGGACTGTCGTACGACCGTCGAAGACATGCCGCGTTCTGGACGACCTTCGACCTCTACCACCGACGAAAACATTGAAAAGGCAAAGGAAATCGTGTTCAAAAATCCTCATGTGAGTGTTAGAGAGATAGCACGAGAGCTAGGCATCGGTCGTGAGATGGCTCGTTTGATTTTGGTGGACAATTTGTGTATGCGACGTGTCAACGCCCGGCTTGTTCCGATTCACCTCAATTTGTTCAACATTATCAACGATTTTAAGGCCAAACATTCAATAAATACCATCGAACAGCCACCGTATTCACCTGATCTTGCACCGTGTGACTTTTTCCTGTTTCCCAACCTCAAATTACCACTCAGAGGAACGCGTTTTGAATCCATAGAAGACGTAAAACAGAATTCGCAGAGGGAACTCAAAGCCATACCGGAAAGCGCCTATAAAAAATGTTTTGATGATTGGAAGAAACGTTGCATTTGTGTATCGCTTCTAATGGAGCATATTTTGAAGGAGATAAAATAAATATTGATGAAGATTAAGAATTTTGCGTTTTATTTAAAATTTCCGGAAGCTTTTCGGTCACAATGTAATATAGTATATCATTTAATATATCTGGTTTCAAAAGTAATGTGTTATACGTATATTGAGTATAACGATTGTTGCATTTTTTGTTTTGTTATATATTTATGTGTATTTATTCAAATATTTTCAACATACAAGCAAGCATTTTTCAAATTTCTTAGATATATTTTTCAACGAATAATGTATTTATATAAAATTAAGAAATAATAAAATTAATAAATTTTATTGTAGGGCAAAATTAATAAAAATAAAAATAAATAAATAAAAAGCAGATAGTAAAACTTGTTGCAAATATGGAGAAATATCCAGACATTGCGAAAGGCATTTGCAATAAGTCATATTTTAGACCACCGTGGAAGAAAATTGCGATAGAGCTTAATAACTTTATAGTTTAGGCGCCTAGAAAAATTGGAAACATTTTAGTGAAGGGAGGCAAGAGTATTGTGACCAAAAACTTACTGTAATACAAGAAAAATTAAAATTGGCTATCGAAAATACCGACAAAAGATATTAATATCGGTCCCTTAGCTTCAAATACTTAAAAAAATATGGATTTTACTAATTTAATTTAATTTAATTTAATTTAATTTAATATACATATAATGTAAATATAACTACAAATTATAAAAATATTAAAATTAATATAAATATATTTAATATTAAATATTAAAGTTTAATTTTAATATTACTAGTTTATTAATAATTAAATGTTTTAATGACCAAAAGAAATTTTTTTTAAAAATAATTATTTCATGGGCTGATTGGTCAGTAATTACTAATTGACCAGTAATTAAAAATAATGATATTTTAAAAAAAAAAAATTTATTATTTAGTTTTATAAGATTTTTATTGTCCAATATTTCGACTATAATCTATAGTCATCATCGGGGAACTATACATATAAATACATTGTAATTAATATTAAGGTATACATTACTTAGAAACAATAATAAATTACATTTTCATTGAAACATGAAACATACATATGTATTTGGAAAATATACAATACTTTGACTATAAGAATCATAAAAATAACATATATATACACGAAAAATATGTTTATCCTCTTCCGGTTTTGTCGAAGGTGTTTTTATACACCTGAGCACAGTGTTGTTTGTCACTTTTGAAATTTAGTCTGGTGTCACTTGGAGTTTTTAAGTCAATATTATTTTTATATTTGACACTGTGTTTATGTCCTTATTTTCCTATTGCTATTTTCCTATAACTCGCAATTACTCCAATATCTTTTCTTAATTTTTGTTAAGAAAAGACCAGGTTGGTTTGGATTTTTGTTTATTTTTATTATTAGTTCTACATTGGATATTTATGTTTCAGTTATCTCTATTGTTTCTTGCTATATTTAATTTTTGTGGATTATTTCTTTTCATTTTTTCAATTGTGTAAGCGCTGTGTACTTCCCAGTAAACTATGTTATCTGTTGTGAATTGTGATATTTGTTCCTTTCTTTTTATGGTTAGACCTTTTGATTTTCCGGTTGTGACAATCTTCTCTCTTAGGCTGATTAGAATCAGGTTGTTTTTTTATATTACAAAACGACTGTCGGTAAGGTTCTGAATTGCAGCTTGTGAGAGACGCGAGTGAACTGTAATATGAAGTGTATGCATAGCCGACAGTTATTATATTGTAGACGAGTTGTTTTGTAATATGCTTTTAATACTCACTCACTAATTTCATGTGTCCATTTTATTCGGCGTTTGGCAACCTGCAGCAGTGACCCCTCTCGTCCCCTCCCCTAGGCTGCGCACATCAACAGGAAGTCCCAACATAGCAATAATAATTTGGGGAAAAAAAACGTTTCTATGTTGCCAAATAATACATAAAATACAAAAAATGAAAGACAACTAAGCTAAATTTAAATTTAACATAAACTAGCATATAACGTAGTAATCATAGCTGAAATTTAACAGATGTGAACACAGTTGCACGTCACTAGAAATTGTGTAAGTACTTCATCTTCGAATTAGTTGGGTTATTACTACTCGTAAAAGACTTTTTTATCTTCTTCGATAGCTCCAATTTTATATCACTGGCTAATGCTGCTGCCAGTTGACCCTAAAATATAGTGGCTAAATCATTATTGCGTATTATAAGTAAATTCAAAGGACTAAATATATATTTTCTTGTAGTATTGTGTTTTGCAAGTTAATCGACAATTAAGTTCTAATACTCGTAGCCTCCAAATTTATATTCTCTTAAAAATACAAAAAATGAAATCGCACTTCATATTCCCTTATATATGTATACTTAATGCAACAACAGCGGTTATTTAGATATATTTTGGTAATTATTCTTAGATTTTCAACAATTTGTTGTTATTTATAAGCGGCGAAAATATATTCAGAGTTAATATATATATAATAATAACAGTTTCATTAAAAAATTACAAACAGAAAGTGAAAAAAGTAGTAAATTTTGTAGTGATTTTATGATTTTAAGTTTTTATTTTTTCCTATTTTTACAGTTTTATAATAACAATTGTTAATTTTTATAGGATATTCTCAAAACTATGACAATTTTGAATCAATTAAAACAATTGGAAGAAGAAAATGGGTTATAAATGGGTCTGAACTAATAAAGTAAGTAATTATATTAATTTTAACATTGAATTTAAAAGTCAATTATTAAAAACATATAGAGTTATGTATCTAGCATATTTTTTTATTGTTTTTTTTTTATTTCTTAACAAAGTCTTCTTTTTAATGGATGCATTTGTTCAAGCGATTTTGAATCTTTTTTAAGCCTACAGAATAAAATTATTTGTCAGATCCTTCATAGTAAACGTATGTGACGACATTAGATTACTGTTTGAATTCAAATTTTTTTCTTCTTAATTAAATTTTAAGTTTTAAAAATATTATATTTTATAAACGTTTATAGTTTATGCAAAAAGTAACCAAAAAGCCGTTCCGATCTAGCATGAACAACGTAGATAAGCAGTATATACTGGAACGATATTTAAATGTTGAAAATTTTAGCCAACAAATACTGTTTTCAGAAACCTTTTTTCGAACACCAAAATCTCGTTTGAATTCTTTTTGAGTTTTCAGAATTAAATGATTATTTTTAATATATAACAATTTCGTTTCTCCAAACTCATCTGCTCACTCTTGCTTTTCATCTTAGTTCCCCTCTTATATTGTGGACATAATGTCCGACTGAATATATTCGAAATCTTGATGAACACGTATCTTTTTTGGAAAATATAATGTCGTATCTGAAACTTAACAACTTAACACTATTTAACAAAAGGACTTTTGCACCTCTTTGTTAAAACGTTTATAGTATATAACTTTTAGTATTTTAGTAATTTTATAAACCATTTTTTTTAATTTGAATTTATTTGGTTTTTATTTTTTTGTTCTTCTTTTATACATTATTTTCTTTAGCCTATTACGTGGAAATGTTGTGTTCCGCGGGATTAATTTTTTGTAATTTAGTTTTAGCCACAACATCTAGAAAATAGAGCAATGAGCAGAAAGTGTAGAATTACTTCGTGCATAAGAATAACAATAAGAAATCAAATAATTAATTGTCAATTTCAGTATCATAAAATTTTTAGCGAAATAGATATAAAACATCACTCCAGTTATTATGATCTAAAATCTTTATTAAAAGATTTGGAAAGACTAGCGCTTAACAATGCCGAAATATAGTCTTTGATGGACAAATAGATAAGGACTAATATTAGACCGTAGGTATAGTTGTTCACAAGAAGTAACTTTTGCTTACAACAACGCATGTAGTCAATTGAAACAGTTATGTCAACACTAGCAACAACTTTTGCTAAATAAATTAGACTGCAAAACTTAGTTTTGTCGATATTTTATGAAATATACTTAAAGTGAATTAAATTTCAAAACCAACAACTAATTATCAAACATTTATCAAATCTCACAAAAGATTTCATCTACAACCTTATTATTTGTTTTTGAAAAAGTAAGTCGCGTTTGTGGTGCGCTCCATGTTTTTTGAAGTAGAACCTAGGAAAAAACTCGACACTAAATGCGGATGTATCGCAAATATAATATAATATAACTAGTCAAAGAACTCACCGAAAGTGGCGAAATATCGCACCCGCGGGGTTATATTATTTATTAATTACATTTCTAATTATTCCGACCGGCAAAACAAAAACTCTTACTTTAGAAAAAAAGAAATAAAAATAAAAAAAAAAAAAATTTCGTCCGATATTTACTTATTTAATGTTGCATTTAATGTATTGTTGCAAAACTACTAAACTTCTGCACAATTTGTTTGGCTTTACATCGTGTAAAAAAATAATATTGTGTAATTCAATTTGTGAATTGTAAGTGGTGTTTTAAAATATCAGCTAACTAGGTAATTACTTATTATCACTGAAAATACTTCTGATTTTTGCGCGCCTGGCTAGTGATTTAGCTATAAAATTGGAAGAATTTATTTCAAATTAAAAATACATATTTTACACTGCGCTATATTATCGACTTTAAGTTGGGCCTAAAAGTAAATTACAATTATGGCACCTTCACCTGGAAAAAGGAAACAAAACAAAGCTTCAGCTAAGGAAGCAAAAGAAAATAAAATTACCAGCCAAGCAACAGTCGCATTTATGCGTGACTCTTTATTAGGAAGACAGAGATCGAACTCAGCTTGCGAAAGTTCAAAACTTGGTGATTCTACTCCAACCTTTAATAAAACAAGCGAGCCAGAAATGAAAGATCTTCAACAAAAGGTAATTGATCTGCAAGTATTATGCCAACAACTTAAAAAAGAAAATTAACGTCTTAAAGCGGAAAATGTCAATTTGAAAATAGTGAAAGATTCATATTCATTACTAACTAGTTGTTCGATTGAGAAATCCTAAGAATATGTAACAGACGAAGAGGAGCTAGCACAAGAGACATATTAGATAATAAAGAAATCTACACCCAATAAAAAACGTAGAGCAGAATCCTCACCTGAGGTAATCATTCAAGCCAAAAATATTGAAAAAACTGAAACCAATAAAAGAAGTGAGCTATGCCCGCCTCCTATAGTGATTTCAAATGTTAATCAATATCAAGAACTGCAAAGTACTATTGATAAAAATGTCAAAAACAAATTTACAATTCGATTACTTGGAAATGATACTCAAAAAATCAATGTTTTTGATGATGATTATTACAGAGCTGTCACTAAAAGTCTCTCCAATTCAAACTTCTACTGGTTTTCATACGAAAATAAGCAGATACGACTCATCAGAGTTATTGCATTAAATTTGCATCATTCATGTGAAGAAGAAAGTATTGTCAGCGATTTATAGAAACAGGGCTTCCAAGCTTTGAGTGCTAAAAATAAACTTAAACAAAAAACAAAAGAACCCTTAAAAATATTTCTTCTAACGTTTGAACATAACGAAGACATCAATAAAATATTCGAAATATGACATATTCTGCACTCAATAGTCGAAATCGAAGCTGTGAAGTCTCCCAAACTTATACCACAGTGTAAAAGCTGCCAGGGGTTTGGCCACACTAAGAATTATTGTAATAAGATACCGAGATGTATCAAATTCACAGGCAATCACACTATTAATTGTATAAAAGATGCTAACAAACAGCCAAAGTTTTGCAACTGTGGTGAAAATTATCCTGCAAACTACAGAGGGTGTGTTGTAGCTATTGACCTGCAAAAAATTTGAAATAAACGAATAAGTAACCAGGAACAAAATAAAAAACTGATTAACAAAATAAAAACACTTTTCACACATACCACAAATAAAAAGCAAAACATATCTTATGCACTAGCAGTTAAAAGTAATGGTAAAGTCAGCTATGCGAGCAATATTGAGGCAATAGCCAATTCTAGGACGAATAAACAAAATGAAGATGTACTCACACAGATCCTGCAAAAACCGCAAAAGCAGGAGGTAGTAGCCAATGCAATACAAGTCCGACTAACTATGTTAGAAAAAAAACTTAACGAAAATTCAAAAAATAAAAAATGAAAAATTGCTTAAAAATTATGACATGGAACTCAAACGGTCTGTCAAAACATCAAAAACAACTAGAAATATTACTTAAGATGGAACAAATCGATATTTGCCTTGTGTCTGAAACACATTTTACTGCACACTCTTTTATAACATTCAATAATTATTATACACTATACATCCAGGTAACTGTGCGAAAGGAGGAATTATTGTAATTATTTGGAAAAGCATAGATCATTATGAAGAAAACAAATGTAGTACTCAAATGTTTCAAACAACAACTATCACTGTAAAAACATATAATCAGCCTTTGTCAATAATTGCTATTTACAGTCCCCCAAGGTATACCATTACAGCAATGGAATATAAACAGCTAATAGGAAGACACAAATTTAATTTTATTGTAGGTGGAAATTTCAATGCGAAACGTACTCATTGGGACTCACGCATCACAACAACAAAGAGAAGAGAACTGTATAAGGTTGCAATAGAAACGAGATGCGAATTCATTTCAACAGGAAAACCAACTTACTGGCCGACCGATCCATATAAATTGCCTGACCTTATGATTTCTTTCTGACTGAAAAAATATCATCAAACTACATGGTAATCAAACAAGGTTTAAATCTGCACTCCGACCATTTGTCAACATATTTAACTTTAAGTGATACGACAGTGTAAACCTTTCAACTCCACTGTGCGCTTGTGATGAACTTGAAAGAGACTACGATCAGTTCATTAAGCAAATTCAAAGAGTGGCTTGGAGCAGTACCCCTGAGTATAAAAGAAAAACTGTAGAGGAGAACTATCCAAGGGAAATTACGAGTCTAATAAAAGAAAAAAGGAAACTAAGGACAAGATGACATCAAACTCGATCTCATCTAGATAAAAGCAGGCTTAATGAAGCTACTAAACGTTTAAAAACTGAGATTCGTCTTATCAAAAATGAGTCAGTAAAAAATTATATTTCATCACTTGTAGTTGACAAAAAATCAGAATACTCATTGTGTAAATCGACAAAATACTTAAGGAAACCCATTATCTTCACACCAACGTTCAAAGACAGCAATGGAAAATAGGCTAGAAGCAATGAGGAAAAAACCGAAGCTTTCGCAAATAACCTGACAAAAATATTTCGGCCTAATGATGTACAGTGTGATGAATTACTGATTGTCACATAGTTCTGAATAAACCAGTCTTACATTACCTCGAGGTTTTTTTATGTAAAACACGAAAACTATTAAGCAAATCTATCTGCGATAAAAACTGGTGTACCTCAGGAGAGTGTACTCAGTCCACTACTATACCTACATTACACAATGTACTTGCCAATAATACCTGAAAGTAAAATTCCAACATTTATAATCGCTATTCTGACGATTGCTAACTCCGTTGAAGAATCTATAGCAAATAACAAACAGCTACAGATTCGATAGACAATTGGACAAAAAGATGACGTATCAAACTGAATTCTGCTAAATCGGTTCATGTGGATGTTCTTTCCTATTTCGATTCAAGATACTTACATACCATATGCCATGCCAGCACTGCAAAATAACTTGGCATAACGTTGGACGCAAAACTTCGATGGAAAGAACACATAAAAAAGAAACGAGACGAGCTTGATATAAAGTTGCGTAAAATGGAATGGCTGATTGACCGCGAATTAACACTGAAGCTGTTTACATCATAACCTCGTAAAGACAACCAAGACGAGTAAAACGGCGAAATGTAGCTGACATGGCATTGAATTAGAATGTAAAGTAATTTATGTAGTAAATTGCTTATTTATGTATAAATAGTATTGATGAGATATGGTAAACAAGCTACTCGTTGTTTACCATATAATGTAAATAGTTGTGACAATACAAAAAAAACCTTATGAAATCATATACAAGAACTGTAGCTCGCTGAATAGGCAATGCGTCGAACTGATACTGATTGTGTGATCGAACAACAATGTTTAGAAAATAATTTTTTTTATCAATTTTTTTTTAGTGATCATGTTAATTTTTTGCTTTGTGAATATGTCAACAAATAAAATTGCCACTTTATAATGTGACATCTATTCTATAGATAGAGGTTAGATTAGGTTATACCGGCACTCACTAGTGAATCCACTTAGGCCTAATCGCCCATTGTGTTACTGTATATATGGGAGAAACTCAGTGTATAAAACCACCTAGAACCTTTGGCGAAGCATAGAATGCTATTTAGTGACAGGTCCTGTAACTGGTCTAGATCCTCAAGAACGGGGGTTCACCAAGTAATAAGCCGCCGCCGTGCAAGAGGTGGGCAAAAACACAGTAGATAAGAGACATTCTTATTTACTTTGCACTTTGCAAATAAAGATTTCATTGCAGAGTCTTTGCATAAAATGCAAAGCAAAGCGTTGCACCAAAAAATTAGATCACTTTCAATTTGTATTGGTTTTTGAAAGCATTTCGTTTCTGTTTGTATATTTTTTTTATTTGTTTGATATTTTGATGCTATGAGTACATGATTTATCCATAGCATGTACTTATGAGTTTAATTTTAGTTTAAAATAATATTTTATTTTAATAAATTTTATTATTACAATTTGAAATATTTGTATAATTTTAGTACAATTATATGTTATACATTAATACAAAACACAAAATTTTTGTATATGATTTCTTTTATTGACATTGAATCGTAGATAAAGAAGTTTTGTATATCCATAGAGACAATTTTTAAGCTTTTAATTTATTTTGCAGTTTGAAAAGTTATAAAAAAAGAATTTATATGTAACGAGTATGAGTATGAGTTGTTTTAACAAAAATTATATTAAAAAACAAAATTAACAAATATAATAAGTTGCTTTTATATAGGTCTAAATAAAATATTATAAAATATTAAAAACTAAATATTATAAAATATTATAAAACATTTATGTTAAATGTAATATAAAGTTTTTTTAGAAACTGAAGTTTTTAATTCACAATTTAAAAGTATTGTCCGGAAATATATTCCTTAAATTATTGGAACTAAATTTATTTTAAAAACAGCAATAATATTTGCTTAAACAAATTTTCTATTTCTATTTTTTTAAAACTATTTTTATTTATTTATTAACGATTTCTTTCATTTTACGCATTTTGTCTTTTATTAATATACATAAGACACTTATTTTTTGTGTAAAGCAATCATTTGCAAAATTTGCAGGGTGAATTAATCATTTGCAATTTTTTTGTAAAGTTTTGTAGTTTACTTTTGCAAAGCGCAAAAAAAAGTAACAGAACAGAAAACAGAAAATGCAAAAAAACCGGTTTTTTGTCAAATATTTTACTTTCTTTGCTTTGCCTTTTTTAAGTGTTGAGTGATCTGAAGATTTACTTGTGAACGATTCCAAAATATTTACTGAAAATTAAACTACCTGTTAAATTAAAATTCATTATGAATCAAGGTATAGTGGAAGAATAAGGGGACTTTTAGTAAATTGAAATATTCAATTAATATCGAATATAAAAATATAGTGGTTTCTTCAATGTGCGAAACAGTTTTTTAACAAAAGACAATATGCGGAGACCTCGTATGAGATGTTGAGAGATATGTCAATTTGCGGCCAGTCACAAAAGCAGTAATATTCAGAAGTAAATTTCTGCAGTATGCACAAAATTATAACAATAGTCTCTATCATCATCCAAAAATTGATCGGCGCTACATATACTGCTTTCGAACAATTATTGGACGACAGTCAAGGGATAATAACTTTGACATACATTTAGATACACAAATTAATAATGTGTGAAAATTGGTACGATTTTAATATATGTGGCTGTAGCACTTACAACTACACATTCAATAACAAAATGTATTATGTAATAACTAGATACCACAATTCTATAAAATTATATATTTTCATTTCACATTCTAAAAATGTCGAACCTCATACATATGTCAAAAATAAGCATTTAAGATATTTTGAAAGTGATGCCAATTTGTTTCAACCAGACTTAATGCTGTTTTTTTACAACTCTGAAATGTAAAATTGCGACTAAAAAATTTAAAATTGAAAACTGCATAAATCTTGGGAGTATTTTGAAAACAGTTAAATTGTAGAAAAATTGTAGATTTATACATAAAATTTGTTATCAAAAATTTAATAAAATGTACATAATTCAGTCATTTAAATCCACAAACTAAATATACATATTTTATAAACGCTTTAAAATACCGACCTATCTATAAAGGTATACATATGAAAACAAAAACTATATATTATAAAAATTTAACCAAAAATTTAATGTTTACTAAGCAAAGAACTTGAGTGTTTTTAATCTTTTGGTGTTTTGATTTTAGTGTTCGTTGTTGTTGTTGTTAGCATTATAAACTTTATTGGATGGTTAAGGGCATTATATGCAGTAATTTCGGGTTGTTTTAGTTGGAAATTATAGGTGTGTTCCACGAGCTACTCATAGTAACTTTGAGTAACACTGTGTATACACAAATGCGTTCCACCAACAAATTTTCGTGTATTTTCGTGTAAATTTTACTTGTGTTTAACTTGAGTTTCACTACGAGTAGCTCGTGGAACAGACCTTATATGCACATTAAATAATAGCAGTGGATACAACCAATGATTTGATTATGACTTCAGTGTTAAGTACTGATTACAGTTCTCTAATGTGCATATAAGCACTTTTCAACTAGCAAAAAAAAAATTAACTTTTCGAGAACTATTAATAAATTAATTAAACACTATTAATAATTTATTTTATTTGAAACAAATCATTTTAATTTTAGTATGCCTCGACCTGTCTTTCAAACGATTAAAAAATCCATAGCTTATGATAAGTTGATGGAAAAGGAAATTATATCTCCTCAACATGAAGAAATCATTAAATATATCAATGACTGTAGGTACAAGTAATTTTAATGCATAAATAATAAACGATATCGTCCTTAGCTTGGAACGTTATAGTAGCAGATAATCCATACGATTTGAAACCGGATGTAAATGGTATTTATTTATAGCAACAAAAAAAATTCAGTAATAAAAGTAACAAAATTTCAGCAGATAATACTTCAGTTGTTATGACTCCACCAATTACTTCAACTATTCAGCTTCAGTATTCGCAACACTCAGTAGCTTCACTGTATTGTGTGGAACCACCAAATCCAGTTCTAACGGACTTCAAACCATTTGATTTGGAGTCGTGGTGGGGAAGACGCTTATTTAACAATATAACAAAAAGCCCCTAGATATATTAAATATTTTTAGTAGTTAATTTTAATGCAATATTTTAAGGAAAATGGCACATAATGATTCAGTGATGACAATAAATTTAACTTGCATTTTTGACTGAATAAAATTAAATGATTTGATTTTAATTCATTAGATATTTTAAATTATTTTAATGCTATTTATATACATATGAAGATTTTGTTCATATTAGCCGTGTTTTATTGTTTATATGAACGATAGCACAAGCTTACATATAAAAGGACTTCAGTTTTACTATTGACGATAATGTACATAAAAAAATTTGTATTGCTAATGCCGTTCAATCAATTTGTCGTCAATGTTTTGCAGACACAAACCCACACAGAGTACGTAAAGATTGCATTGGCAATTTAAAGTGTATATTTCACACATTTTTGTTTTTTTTTTTTTTTGCAGGACCACAAATTCTACACTAAAAAATATTTCTTTAATGCAATGCAGGGAAAAAAATATGATTTCTTGTCCAATAATAAAAGAACGCTCACGAATATACAGAAGGTAATGCTGACAAAAGTGTTAACAGTAAGTATTAAAAAACGTATTGTGTGGTCTAGACTTTATTAATTTTATGTTTCTTTTGTTAAGGATGTAAGCATCTTTCTGAAGCATTCTTTGTGAAACGTACGGACTGCAACTATCATACGTTCAATTTAAAAAGAATAGAGCGAACAGCTTAAAAAAAAGGCAGCAGTTGTTCTTAATTAATTCCTCATATAATTAAGAAATGTAAGGAATGAGCACATCATTAGGAATGAGCACAGTACGGCAAAAGTTATTAGTGTTGTTTAAAGCCAAAAATGAGGGATATTATGCTTACTGGACTACTAATCCTTGCGGCTTAACCAGTTGTGTTACCGTTCTATTCATGGAAAAAAATATACATCATTGTCAAGAAGAATAAATAATAGAGCATAATATACAGGCAACTGTATCGAAATTCAACACAACACAGCTAAACTTGGTATTAATGTTATAAATTGTCTGTCATATCTTATCGTTGGCAAAAAGTAATTTTTCATTATATTATAACCTTGTGCAAAGGTTCTTTGTCGGAGGAGACTACAAAGTTAAACATATGTGTGATGCCATAAATAAAGTAATGTAATAATTGACCTACAAAAAATAATAAAACTGATCGGCTCCATTGTAAAAAGAAAATTATCTAATTTTTAAACAACAGAAGAATTGAAAAATCTAACATGAGATAATATTCCGGTCCTAATAACCTTAACGGCAAACATCATCTTAATTGTCACCAATTCAGAAAAACTTGGATAATCATAACACCTTAAAATTGTGCCCATCAAAGCCGACATTAAAAAACAAATACAGTGTTACATTGAACAAATACATGCGGCAGCCATAGATGCTACACCGACTGCAAAGAACAAACTGAACAACTAGTTATACATTTAGTTCACATCAGAATTTTAATCAAGGAAAAAAGAAAGGCAAAACTTTCATGACAGAATTAAAAATCCATAAATAACTAAATTTATAAGTAATTTAAAATTATAAAAGAATGTGCATTACGAACTTTTTGAGTGAACTGAGACTAATTGCAAATAAAGATTAGTTGCAATGGAAAACAACGTGTCTGCTTAAGTTTCCATTTGTCTAGGTGGCTCCAATCAAAAATATTAAAATAATTGTCTGAAAAGCTGATGAAAAAATATAAATGTCTTCTTAATATCGAGTTGAAGTGTTTCAGCCACATAACATACTATCTAATATTAATGCAACACCACTAAATCAGCCACCGTCAAATATCAGGTTAATCACACTTATAGAAATAGCACAAGAAATCAATAATATTCTCAATTCTAAAAATGTAGCGGGAACAGATAAAATCTCTTCTGATCTTTTTAAAAAAGCAATTGTTATATACCCAAATTCTGCCTTCAACTAAAATCCGTATCGAGGAGTATCAAAATATCAAAGAGCAGTAATGATACAAAAACCAAACAAACAAATTCCGATATCTTTATTATCCACAATATTAAAACTGTTTGAGAAGCTTTTACTGAGATTACTCAAGCTGGTGATCAACATACCAGACTTTCAAGAGGATTTAAGAGTAATCAGTCAACCATTATAAAATGACCAATATGTTGTCGGCATTTTCTGTCAAACAGAAATCTAAATATTTCAAGCACAAATGTTGGCAAATTTATTGGTTAATAGGGCTTTATTCACAACTTAATCTATTTTGCAAAAGATTATTTTGTAGTATATAGCTTTGTGACGGTAAGCGCAATCATTAAATTGCTCATCATGCAGTAAAGTATAAAGAACTTTGTGCACGTTCGATTGCTAATACATTTTGTTGTATAACGAATAAAAAAAGACTTGAAAATAAAATATATTAAAAATACAAGTATAAGCATGTTATGAAAAAACTAAATATGTTTTCCGATAGAAAATATACTGTTCTTTTCGTTTTAAAATCTATAATATTAAGCTATAATATACTAATTTTTATTATTTAATGTAATAATTTTCAGTTATTTAAAACTAGGCAGTTATGGTATTTAGAACTTGGCAAGTATTACCTAAGCCAAAAACAAAGTAAGTTTGACGGAAAGGAATACTGCTTTTTAGTTCTTGGTTAATATTAATTGTGTCAGAAGGTAGATGACTTTAAGAATTATATATATATTAATAGTTACAAAATAATATCTAATCGCAATTTTGTGAATTACGCTAATTATAGCACTAATTCTGTTAAAACATGGTGACACGTAAGACAAAACATCAAGCGTAGGTAAAATTATCTTGTAAGCTTAATCTTTCTTTCTACATTCTTGAGTCTTAGTGGAGAAACCTATCAAGAAATGCAATAAAACTAATATTTTAAATATATATGTAGACGTATGTATAACTATATATGTATATGTTCATTACCACTAAAGGATGCTCAGTATGAATGTCTATACACAAAATGATTACTAATAAAAGACGAATCTAAATATAAAATAGTTAATTACCATTAAAAGATGAACTAATATTGTAAATCAATTACATATAATTATTATATAATTATGTATATAAAATAAGTGAGTTCATAATATCAATATTAATAATAATAAATTTCTAAATAAATAAAAGTTTTACCAATACAATAACATTCTGGTCTAATTTTCAACATATGGCTTAGATGTATTTCAGGATATAACAATTTTTCAACGTATAAAAATTGGTTTCAACATATACTAGTCGGTATAAGTATTTTGACGAAATAAAAATGGTGCATTTTTGAGTTTAATTTTGTAATGGTTTTATAAAGAATTGTTTTTTCTTCATGTTTATAGCTAATACAAACTTAAAAATAATCAAGCAAATATTTTTCATAGAAACTTAAAAAGATATAAATTAATTAGTAATTTCATATGTTGGCATAAGTATTGTAACAAGTATATAATACTAAGATGACAAAGTTTAAACTTAAGAAAAATAAAGTTGCATCCTGTTACTTATCCTGTTGCAGGATAAGTGATTCTCTAATAAGTCTATCTCCGGAAGGAAAGCATAATCGTTTAGGGTAGTCAAATATTAACCTTGGTTCATTGAGCTGACGCATGGTCCCCCAGCCTATCTTATACAACACATCCCCAAAACATAACAGCGCCTCCATCATGGCTCACTTTTTGAAAAACGGAACATCTGTTTTGCCTTTGCACCTTAAGCAATCGTACAAAAAATGTGTTTTTTGATGAGTTATACTCAGAGGAGCTTTCGTCTGTCCATAGAACGTTTCTCTAGAAGTCTTTTGGCTTGTGCAGATGTTCTTTTGGCAGTGAAGACTAGTCTCTTAAGCTTGTTTGCTTTTGATATATACGGCACGTTTTTAGCTTTTATTGTCTTAAAATATCTTTCCTTTAAACGTCATCGGACAGTCATCGGATCGCTCACTAATTGGAGTCTTCATTTTCGCACCGTTATTTAATGGTACTAAGTAAGGCTAGGTTCAGTAGTCACAAAAAGGTTTCGTCAAAATACTTATGCGAACTAGTGTATAACAGCTGCCAATCAAGAAAAACGATAGCTTAGTCCCACTAATTTAAAAGATATTTAACTTTTAAATGTGAACTGAAAAGACTGAAACTAACAGAACCTTATGAATTAACATAAATAATTCTACATTTTACTTACTTTTACGCAGGACTGAACACTGTTACAGTATACCCGCACATAACTTTTTTATAACAGTAAAATTCATCAATAGTAATCGATCACCATAGTTAAAACCGAAGTAATAAAATCCAATTAAGAATTTCCAATATCCAAACAATATTTTTCTGTATTTAAAAAAAATGAATTATTAAAAAATACATTTTTCTATGTTACAACGCCGCAAGTGAGATGAATGATTTCATGGCATCCTTTTTCAAAAAAATATCACTTCATACAATATCACCTCATTGACGCCATTACAAAATCTTGCTGACTTTATTCGGCATCAATTCATGAAGTTCTACAAAAGCTAAAGCCTTAAAGTATGACGTTCAGTAATCTTTGTCGCATTACTAGCAACCGAGGTGGAGCGTTTAACTCCAAAAAAGTTCGTCATTACTGTGAAGAAGGAAATACATATACTACTAATTTTAGTTATCACGAGCTTAACCAGAGCGAATGATCAAGTCAAGCGCTTCATCAAATCAGTAATTGCAAAACAGAACTCCAACGATCATTGCAAGTCATTCAACACCTAGAATGTCTACTAAGCAGTGACGACTGCTCTAAGGTGCGGAGAAGTCAAATAATATATATAAATCCATTAAATATCTACATCGAGAATTAATATTATTTATTACATGCACATATATGTATATATTTAAAGATTAAAGTTTTAGCAAAAAAAAATTAAATATAATTGTCTATGACAACTCAATCAATTTGTTCTCTTAGCTACTATAGTTTTTAGATGCGCTCATAAGTTTGCAGCTCAAATCGCAGAATATTTCTATTTGGTCTTCCCCTTTTAGCAGTAGCACCACGAATTTCTGTCGCTAGGCGAGCACAATAGTTGGCCGCACATTTATACATTAGGGGTATTCAGGCAACTGATTAGTTGCTTAGTTGATTCAAAAACT